CCACACGTGGATATATTGATCACAAAAAACGACTGTCAAGTAATATGAGCATTTCGTTGGGAAATGTTGGGACTGTATCATCTCCACAGTAACGTGACCGATCAGTGATCCGCCAATTGACCAGTGATCCGCCAAAACATTTTATCCAATAACATGGTTTCTCGAATTGAATTGGACAAAACAAAACCTCTTACAATATTGACCTCGTGAGAAATTATGCACGAATTGTCCAACACTCCAACCTGTCAATATTTCAAAAGTTCATACAATTCTAAAACTAATATACCTTTATCATATTATATTTTCAGCTAAAGATTTTGGATTTTGTTAAACTGAATTCAATACTCACTTCAAGTATATATTTTGGCGGATCACTGATCGACTGTGTAAATAGCTCAATTTTCTAAATTAATTGGAGAAACATGAACTGTCAGATCCGATCGGTTTTGAGTCCTTGTGAAAGCACTTGAAATTGGCTATCAGAATGTGTGTGTCCATCTTTGTTCTAGCACAAATAGCCGCTGAGTAATTCAAGAAGGAAAAAACCCAAATTTTGGCGGATCACTGATCGATCACGTAACTTATGTCATCTCCACACATGTCGCGTTCACCCGAAAACTGTGTTAGCATGAATAGGTACCGTCTTGCGTAATACGAGTCAGAAACCTCTAACATTTGATAATATTTGGCCACTCGCAGAAAACGTATTTACACGGGTTTCCTATGCATCCAATATATACTCTACAAATAAATATAAGATTGGTGTATAGAGGTGCTTTTGAGAGGTGCTCGACGGTCATGACCAACCTTATGTGAATCGACGTCATAATAAAGTACTAACATTAGTTCTGGGCTAAGAAGTCCACTAAGCAGCAAAATAGCCTACCGGTAGTTACTAAGACTACAATTGGTATTTATGAATTGTTCGGATGGAGTGCCAACGGAATCGACGAAACAGGGTTAATTGACGACGCGACTGAGTTAGACTAAGCTATGGTGCTAACTTGATATCATAGCTAAACGTGCCCACGTTCTTGCTAAGTTACATGTACTAATGGATATCGACCCCATTCGAGATCGTGCTCTTGCAGGATTAGAAATGCTCTTCGTACATAAATAGATCTCACAACTATTCACAACAAGTTACAAGTGTGTATACATACATAAAACAGAACGAAGTGCATCACTGTGGATGATATGTGTGTACCGGTATACTGAAGTGAGATGTGTTGGTTAACGTTACATGTGGTGAGCGACTTTCGACAATCTTGCCGCTAGTCCCCGTGACGGTGATCACGCACACCTTTTGCTTAGTCCACCCAACGTATCTTCATTTCTGGCGCGCGTGATCGCCCAAGTTGTGCACTTCAAATGTCCATGGCCCAAGAGTGTCCCAAGAAAAAAGTTTGGGATAGCGGCGATTCAAGCTGGAAGAAGGGCAAGAACGCTTGCAAGTGGTTCAAGGCACGAGAGCGAAAAGAGAATTTACAAGCTAAGCGAATGAAGAAGCCCCCACGGCCCACCATAGAAGGTGATGATCGTTGGGTGACATCTGGCGACTCAAGTTCGACGGGTCAGACCCACCAGCAAAAGTGAAGCCGTTGAAGGTGACACCGAAGGATGGGTACCTTACCGATGCAAAGGAAGGGAGCACAACCTCCTGGAGGAGAGGTTCCTCAAGTTGTTTGCAGAAGAACTACTTGATGCAAGCTTGATCAAGAGCAACCAGCAGAGTGCGTGGCGTAGACCGGGCAACGCTGTTGCATGGATAGCGTTGGAAAGCTCAACACAGCACACTTCAAATCCGGTGTATCGTGCTCCGATGGACCCCCAAAGTGAGCAGCAACGAAAGCTCCACGGGGGAGGTGCTTGTAGTCAAGCAGTCGGGCAAGGAGTTGGTGCAGGACTGCGGCACGGGCATCGTTCGTCAGGTTTCTCTTCGCGCCAATTTTGAATTTGATGTGGTTGTTGGTCCAATTATACGGATAATTGGTGCATTATCCGGAAAAAGTCGTAGAATTGTCCATTTCATATGGAGTAGAGTATTGATCTTTTACGTGCTTAGTTTTCTTCATTGGGTGAAGTTTGGTGTGAATCACTTTGATTCGTTAGCTCCTTGAGCAGATTACATATGTACTTTCAGATTCATGTAATTTGACCATTATCATGCTCATTTCCCAAATATTCTGCTTGGGGCATTTACTTCCGGACAGATAGTAGCATGAATAGGCAGGTCAACCAAGACACACACAAACTACTATACTGTACCTCGGCCATTCCTTGGCCAAAACCACTCATTCTAGGACTGGTGTCACATACACGACGAGCGACCAAGTTGCCTACGTCCGTGCCGAACACTTCGTTAGTGCAAGAGTGAGTAGTTTGTGTGTGTCGTGGTGCTGTAAATAACATCCACCCTGTCGATTATAAGTGGTTTGTACCTGATCTCAATGATATCTGATAGGAATTCGTTGCACTGTGTGCAATACAACACATGGTTATGTGGTTAATTGAGTTTTGATTTTCATTTGTAAGACATTCCTCCGCGAGGGTCGATACTAGAACCACATGTTGTGGAACCGCTTCGCCAATTGTAACGCGCCTGCTCGACCAGGGGCTGTGTAATCTTCGGTTTTTGCTTCGCCAAATGTGCTTCGACCGACCTTCTTCGAAGATCGAAGATCGGTCCTCGCCTTCGTACGCAGCTCTTGTTATCCGGATCCCCTAGGGGAGGGACGGATAATCAGTCCCCGCTACTGCGTCGATTGGACTCACAGTGGAACATACTTCACAAGGGAAATGATCAAAATTTTCATGTTGAATCCATACAGACCCTAAGACAGAAGACAAAATAATCAAGTATAATGAGCATGCTTTTATGAACTTTCCTACAACAAGCGAAGTCCAACCAGTTTGTAATGGTTGGTGCTCGGAGATCGAAGTACCCTACCATCCCAGGACTACCGAAGCACCTGGAGCGGCTGTGCCGCTTTAATTGCTCCTTTCCCGACTGCCCCGCTCCGATGTGCTACGTCCAACGTAACAACATCTTAACGCACTGGAGCCGTCATCGTGGTGATGGCGAGGTCGTAGCCTCGAACTGGAACTTGCTAACTGAGGAGCAGCATATTGACTTTGTCAGTGTGCACAGAGGTGATATTGCTCCAGGACATCCCGAGATTGTTATGACCTCTGCTGGTTCTAACAAATATGACGTCTTAGCCGAAACTGGGGTTTCCGACGGCGACGCGGTTTTGTCCATGCTGGCGTGCTTGTGCGAAAAAGCCAATGACGATTTGCGCACGATTGTGTAAGGGCGTGTCCAAGATAGTGATCACGACAACACTGAGAACCAAGGGATTGAGGAAGCCGAAACGGCCGACACAGTGCAACCATCCCCTCCTCCGGCGCCGACCGCAAGAAGCCTACCCGCAAGCGTCCTCGTCACAATTAGTTCAACTAGTTCCAACTAAGGTTATTCTAGTTAATACTTCACTCGTTTTACAGAACTCGTTAACTATAAACTTAGCACTTTTCTTGAACTCGATTTTTCGGCACTTGTAAAATTAGTGTTTAAATTTACCTGAGCTAAATCTACTAACTCGACTTTACATTTTGCCTCGAACCTCACACTTGGAGCGTGTTCTCTCTGCTTGCCTGCGCCGCGCCTGCCCGTCAAAATGTCGCTAAACCCCGTGACACTTATGTGGCAATATTTTATTCTTGTTAGCTTTCTTGACATTTTCTTGCAAGAACTACGTCAAATTGTTAGTTGCCGAGGCTTCAAACCCACGCATCGAGGGTTCGAATCCCACCAAAAATTCTCATTTTCATGTTTTTTTCTGCCGGTTTCAATTTTGTCCCGACCATTTCGAACTGAAGATGCCGCGACGAAGAGCCCTGTGTTCACATTGTCATGATTACCCTATACTTTCGCATTGCACTCGCCGTGCTTGCATCAGATGCGAGTGCAATTGTGAGTGCACTCCAAGCAACGACGGCAGCCCTCGAGTGCGCGTGGCACGTTCGTATTTGACGCCATCCAAGGTATTGCAGAGGAGTTCTTGGTTCGAAATCACTCTCTCGACCACGCGGACGGGCAGTTAAATGTTGGTGTCGACACCGACCACGCGGACGGACCGACGAACAGCACAACACTTGGCAACGCACTGAATCGAGGATCTGTTCGACGACAAACTTGACGACAGTCGTGTCGATTGCCTACTACGCGGTGGGGATGACTAGTACGCGGTGGGGATGACGTTGGAACTGCAGCTGTGTCCATCGAGGAGATGCAGCCCGGATCTGTTCCACCCTCCTACCTGGAGGTTAACTTCCACGAGCGGTATGCCAACGTCATTCTTGGCCAGGGCATGCTGCTCACCGTTTTTCCTGGGAAGTTGTATTGTCTCCCCGAAATTGGACCTAGTCTTGCGGACCTGTGTTTTTGCTTTAAAAGTCCACACATCTTTGTGACAACCTTGGCATTTGTTGACGAAGAGATTACTGTGGTGTATTGTACTTCTTGCAAAACGACACTGAACCATTTGCTGGAGTCAAATGTTCGTGCACACAGAATTAGGGAATCACAGGTAGAAATCTGGGAGACACACACGTGTATCAAAACTCAAGGGAATTGACCTAGCGTTACAGCAGCGAGCGACGACAGAGCATCCGCCCACAAAATTGCGCGCACCACAGCGCAGCGGAGGTCGTGTGTATAATTTTGTGCAGGCGGTGCCTTGGCGAGGAGTGAGCCCCAATCGTGCACTTCACCAAATGTCCAATCTATTCCTCTCGTCGGGAAAACGGCAGGTAGGCCGCAGGCCGTGCCCCCAGACGAGGCCTGTGGAGGACCAAATTACCTTATATAGTATTTGTAACGTTACAGTTTCATATGATTCCCCATTTTCTACCTGTGATTCCCTAATTCTTGTGTGCAGAGTTTCTGTACTCCCATTTGCTGCGAGAAATGTTGCGTGGCCTCACGGACAGCCACATGTGCGCACAAAAACGTTTGGCTGGCGTATATCGACGAATCTCATATCAATTTTTCATTTGACCTGGAATAGTTAACGGACGAAAACAACGCCCCAACTAACAGTTCGTTCGTGAACCCCATGTTCTGTTCCCTGTGGATGCATTCAGCCAGAGCATCATTCGGTCTCGCCGAGAGTTCAATCACATTGTGACGTTTGAGCCATCGACGTTCGTGCCAAAAAAACTGGATCGCGCGAACTGTGTGTGCGGGGTCATTGTGGATTACGACTGGTGGACAACAGTTACATCTGTGTTTATGCTAAACTGGAGCGATATGAAGAATGAATGGACGCAACCAAATGTACAGAAGAATCGGTACAAGTATTTAGCCAATCAAGTTGCAGGAAATCAGCATCAACGTCGAATTAGTGTGTGATTTCAAATAGTGTGATACCAATCACCGCAGGACACCTTTTTACATACAAAATGAATCGATCGATAGATTTGGCGAATAAGCACAAAGTCCAAATTTTGGGTAAAACGACAATACGGCGTACGGAGTGTTTCGGGCAGAGCAATTGTCAGTGCCGCAATACCGATGTGCTGACGCTGCCTACGAGCATGCGACGCAGTTCGACGGCTTCACCATGGCATGCTTCGCACTGCAGGCAGCAAATTCATGGACATTGACCTGTTCAACCTAGTTGGGCTCAACCTGGTGGTTGGTGCAGCACCATTGTCAGCGACATACAGGGTTGTGCAGGAATTGTACCCTGCAAAAGAATTGGAGTTCTGCAGCAAGTTATAATAACATATATTGTGCTTTGCACCTTTTTTGGCAATTCCAGGGTTAAATTCATTGTTTAAAAATTTCTTGACGCAATGAAACTGAATGAGCTATGGCCACACACATGACCCCCCATCCGTGATCACTACAGTACTAACATTATCTACTCCGAGTAATGTGTATAACGTT